TTGCCCCTAACCACTCTGCCTGCTGGCTTGATTGCCCCCAACTGCCCCCCCTGCCAGCCTGCTCTCCCCCACCTGCCTCCTCCTGCTGGCCTGCTCGCCCCCTAACTGCCTCTGCCTCGGCTCGCCACCATGGCTTTGTCTGGAAGTTGTCCAGTCTAATTGCCATATTGCCCTTTTATTAGTGTAGATAGATATCCCCCTCCCCTGCTCTATTTTTCTCTCCAGTCCATATTGTTCATGACGAGTGAGATCCTGTGACATTTCCCTTCCTCCTGCCTCTGTTCTCAGCTGAGCTGAGTCCCTGGGCCGAGGGAGCAGCCTGTGAGCCTGGAAATCGCCGGGGCTCAATATCAGGAAAAGTCCCCCCAAAAAGATTCAACATTTCCCCCCGGGGAGACTCCTCAGGCCTGCGAACCCTTCCTGCAGCCGCCTGCTTCCTCGAGGCCCGTCGGAAGGAATGATCGGAACAGATTGGAATGTCGAACCACGTTTATAAACACACGCTCAGCTGTTTTCATTAACCCGGACAAGATGCTGACACAGAAAAACAACAAAAAAAAACAAAACAGACAATGAAAGTGGGGATGTTGCTAAAACGGACCTCCCCACGGCCACCCCCAGAGAGGAGAGAGAATTTGTAAGACCATCCGGCCAGAATCCTCCGAGGCCCCATGACCATCACGGACAACTGACCACATCCTCATTCCCGGCCTCACCCCCAGCCCCGGGGAGCTCAGCATCCCTCCCCCGGCGCCTCCCTGGGCACAAGCGCTCATTTAAAGACATTGAGACTCAGGAGCCTGGCGTGCAAGGTCTGCCAGCATCTGGGAAATGGAGCGGGGGCGGGGGGAGCCCAGAAGGGAGGGTGGGTGCTGAAGGGGCCAGGGGGCCTGGAGTGAGGGGGTGAGGAGCACCCAGGCACAGTCTAAGGGGTGTGGGTGCAAACAGCTCCCCCAGGCAGAGGGGACACAGTCACTGAGGCTCAGAGGGCTCTGCCCACATGGGGAGAGGCTGCGGGTCAGCTCTCTGGGGGGCAGAGCGACAGGGAGTGGGATGTGCTTTGGGGGCCCAGCTCAGGCAGAGCAGTTCTCTGGCCTTTCTCCCCAATTCTGAGAGCCCAGCCAGAGCCCTTCCCGCCTGGGCTGTGAGTCCCCTTGGAGGAACTAGAAAACAAGTTCAAGTTTCACTTTCCTTTGTTAGCAGTCAGCCTGACTCCTCCATCTCTGCTCCTCTGCGCGACCACGGGTGTTGCTGTCTTTCTGTCGCTGACTGGAGCCCCGAGGCCGCGGTCAGGGAGTGAGGGTCCCGGG